GGGGGGGACTAGCTAACGTTACAGTGCCTTTTGCTCGAGGATTTAGGACGCGAACAGTAAACCAGTAAAGTGAAACCGTCTTTTGTTGAAGCAAGTGCTCGCCCGAGCCCCTCCGTGCGGGTTTAAAGAAGAAGAAGAAGAAGAAAACGAGGGTTTAAAAAGTGTCCGTGTTCGTCTCGTTTTGTCCCGGGTCATGGATTTGGCCCAGCTTGCTTAAGTTCGGTGGGTCAACTTGGGCACGGATCGCGTTTTGAACTTGTTTTGCATCAGTCTCTGGGACTCCCACGAATCTCCAGACTGGCGGGTGAGTAGTTACATTAACAAAAAAAAAAGGTTGCAGGACGGTTGTGGTTGGAGGAGGATTTGGAGGGGAGGGGGGGGGGGAGCAATGTGTGGCTGATAAAAGAAACGGGATTTATGACAGAGTGATGAATAAAGCGTGGTGGCCCTCACACTTTGAGCTAAAAGTGTCCTAATTGTGTTTATGCCCGGAGTAGGAAGCGCGTGTGACCTCGAGTCAAATGTTTCTGAGTGCTGAAAGTTGGCTGCATTGTTGTAAAACTTGGCTCTCTGTGGACTGTGGAGCAGACATGGCAACCTCCACGACCCGGCCAGCCTGTAGCAGCAGCTCGTGGGTTTGAAAGTTAGAACAATAAAGTAAACAAATTGAGAGCTCACACTGAAACGTTGCTGCCCAGGAAACAGGCATCAAAGGAACAAAAAAAACGAGTTGTGCGCGTGTGTATTCGAGCAATAGTTAAGGAAAGTTGCAAATTTTTTTTCTATGGATCTTAATGAGACAGTGGCACATACATTTTGACGAGTGGGATTTCCCTAAGTTTCACATTAAGTATTGGCTGTTTGGTTTACAGCCTTGTTCGTGTAATAAATTGATTATTGGACTGTAATTATGGAAATAAGTGGAGTGTTTTTGAAAAAAATGTTTAGTGGGTGACCGGCTGAACCAGCAAACTGTTGAAGTACCATCGAATTAACTTGACCCCCCCCCCCCTCTCAGAGCACCCCAGAGGCTATGAACTCTGGCCCAAGCACATGCAGCTCTCACTGTGGGAGATCTGTGCCTGTTGTTGAAAAGAGCAAGGGGGGCTTGTGTGTGTGTGTGTGTGTGTGTGTGTTTAGGAGGGGGCAGCTTTGGATTTGAAAGCAGACTACAGTTATTTGTCTGAAAGGCAGCTTATCTAATGTTTTCTAGTTGTAGTGGGGGGGGGCTTGTTTACTTCAATCACTGTAAAATTGGCCATAGTAAGTCTTCATGTGACTCCAGTCAGAAGCTGACTCCACTGCTTATGTGACCACACGAGCTCAAAGAAAAGCTTCTGCCCTGAAACAAGATACAAATTGAGGAAAGGGGGGAAGCAGCGATTGCCTTCAATCTCCGCCATATAAAAACAATCCCCTCCTGAAATCCCCCCCCCCGCTGCTGCATTTATTTTTCACCGAGCTATTACATATTACATGGACTCAGATGTTGCATTGCTAATTGCGAGGAGCTAATCTCCACCATGCCCAGGTTCCTGTGGCATTTGTTTTGACCCCCCCTCCCCCTGCTAGCTGAGAAGTGACCTCTATCTTAATGGTTCAGATGTGATTAATCCACTTGAGTGGGACGACACTGCATGGGCTGACGTGGGGCACAAGTACTGCAGATAATGAATGATTGTTGGAACAAAGGGGACATTTGAATGGGAGATATTTTAGGTGCAATAATGCTTAAAAAGTTACCAGTGGTTGTGTTTTGTCAGTGTTCCTATTAACTCACAATGCTGAACTTTCAGCTGGTGCTGTCTCCACTTGTGTGATCTTTGATTCAGATATCATTGACGGATAGAGTGTGAAGATCTTACAGACGACACGCTTTGTTTCCCTTTTTATTGATGGGTTTCAGGAGCCGTCACTTGCCACATATTAGCTTAAAACATGGCGGCGTGAAAAAAGATGGGGTTGGATCATTCCAGTCATATAGCTGAAAGGCCGTCTGTGGTTGATTCTGGTGGCGCTTTTAGACCATAAATGTTTTTCCTGTTGTTTGGTTGTCACTGAATCGAGTGCTGGGCCCGTCTCTGAAATGGTAACTAGATGATGATGTGATTTTGGTTGTATGAGTAACATGCACTATCATGTGGGGGAACTTGCATAGCTTATCCTTCTGAACACATTAAGAAATGGCATCTTCCTCCCTTCCCCAGAGGTTAGAATATCCATTTAGTTTCACTACTTGTGGAGTGTATGAAAGAGGAAGTGGTCAGACCTCTTAATGGAGTTGTACACAAGAGCCTGAGTTGTTCTGAAGTGTGGGAATTGTTTGGGAAGATAACACTGAAGGTTTCACGGCGAGGCTGCTATCAGATGAGAAAACGGCAGTCTTAATCTTAATTATGTGCGCCACCGTACCGCTGTCGGTATCACGTCACATCTCTATTTGCCGTACTTCATACCACCTTTTTTTTTTGTGGGAAATGAAATCTGATGTGCAATTTGATCCGAGTCTGAGTCCGCAGTGTGCGTTTGTTGATTCATGTGAACCAAGGGAATCGTGGTAGCGTTGTGTGAGTCTCCCCCCCCCCCCCCTTTTTCATAAACACGAGTCTCAATGCTGACAAGGTACAGAGAGCTAGTAAACATTCAGCTCACATACGGGCGCGTGTACGAGTGTCACCTCTGAGGAATCTGAGGGGCGATATCCGGATCAAAGAGGCTGTTTCCGACCATACAGAGAGAGAGATGCTTCATGGAGGGAGGCTGTAACGGCTGTCTAGCTGCGCAGAGGCGACCGAATGTTTGACAGGGCATTGGAAAAACGTTATTTAATCTGCTCGCATGATGGCCCTCACTGGGATTGTACCATGCTGCGTCTCTGCCCCCCCCTCCCTGTATCAGGATGATGGCAGTTGCTTTTGCTGGTAGAAAAACACTGCAAAGGTTGTCTGTTTGTTGTTTTTTTACCGGCATGATGTAATGCATAAAGAATCAGAGAAATTGTAATTGATGCAGTGTTGGCGGGCCTCTTAATTGTCTTTCTAATGAGTGAGTCTGCTGGGGTCTTGATATCTTTTCCTTTGGGGTAATGGTCTGAATGACTCGACTGTAGCCATTGTAATTACAAAGGAATGACCCAATTGTTATTATAATAAGCTGCATAAGTGAAAACAGATGTGATGTTTGACCCCTTAAAAACCAAAATGAAAAGATACTGATTGAATAAATTAAGGTCAATTACAACTCTGGCTTTTTGGTTGTGTGAATGTCGCTCGACTGCATCTCAGCCACAGACAATGTTCGTCTCACACTCTCACTTCTGACCTCAAAAACACAGAAATGCGAGAGCCGCCTGGTCATAAAGCCAGCCGTAAAACATCAAGGAGAAGCCATGGCTTCCATGCCATTGTTATTATCATTTCCATCCCCCTACACCAAAGCAGACTCGGGGTTTTAATGGTATGTCTCTTGATGTCTTGGTGATTCTTTAGACGGGTCTCATTTCTATATGGAACGAGCTGGCTCGCCACTTCCTGCCCTGTTGTCTTTGCAGATAGTGGTTTACTAGTGACGTGTTTAGAAGGTGTTAGCCACTGTTTCATGTTTACATAGTGCACATGGAGCGGTGCTGAGGAGGTAGTACCCTCTGCTGGGTGACTGCTGAAATAGGGAGTGATGATCTGGAGAGATACTTTGATTGTTGGAAAATTCCATCTAATTTGTTGTGTGCATGTAGGAACGGCCAAATATCTTGAATTAACATAAACCTTGGGAACCAACGACGAGTGAGAAATTGGGATAATTGAAAATAGGCCCCATCTCAACTACCCCCCCCCCCCGCTCTCTCTGTACATCCTTAAAGCAGCTGAGCCCATCGGAGGGCACTTTCACACATGTTAAGTGGGGGGGGACATCTGGCCTCGTTAATTCAGTGCATGGTAAAGTGGAATGGCGGTCCCCGCAGTGCCGCCTGCTCCGAACGCCGTCAGATGGAGTCTGTGTGTCCTCCCTGTTGACTGTCCCTCTGACACCGTCTCTGGCACTTCAACAAGAAACACCCTCACAATCCCACTGCGATGTTTAAACACACACACGCCGATGTCCGGGGGAGATGGAGCAACAGCGCACACACGTCTCCATGAAATGCTGTAAGGCTGTATTGTGTGGTTTTACTGATCAATCCTGATTTTCATTTCCTTAGTGCAACAAAGAAACCACACGCTCCATGCGATTTAAACAATCACCTCTCCAGGAACAGCTTATTCCCCACCACCATATAAGGATATGGGTAGCCTGTGTCCAGTGAGTCTATGTGTAATGAGTGGGGCTGTCGGAGTCTATGTTGCAGTACCCACCATGGATCTCTGCATCCTCTGCAACGGTCGCAGAGAGTCGAGCAACGGCAGCAGGGAAGCCGCTCACACTGCGCATTCACATCCTATTTTAGCAAGTAAACATTTAATGTGTTTGAATGTATCACAGCTTTATTTATGCATAGAAATCTGCTGTTAAGTCTGAATTATACATTAGCCCGATGAATAATGCATCGATGCCGTTCCTTAATGATTACTCGCCAGGCAGCGAATGGTAATATTTGCTGATAAATTTACCCATTGATCTTGCTTGTGTTTAACCAGGCTTGTAGAGATGATGTTCGCTCCATTTTGTGTTTAGGGAGGCTTTTCTCTTTTCTCAAGGATGTAATCAAAAGCAAGCTAATTGTCAGTTTTTTTAGGAATAAGATGTCTTTTTTAAATGACAAATGAGCCCCAAGGAATTCAAGCAAAATGGATAGAATGTGAATTCTACTGAGTCCTTGTACTCCTTGATTCACCGTTTTCTCGAACATCTCCGTACGGTTGGTGCGTTTACACACCGCTTTCTTCATGGCTGCTCTTAGGATGAGTTATTTATCCACAGACCTCGACAGATCAATGTCCAATTACAGTTTTGTCTTCTTTTTTTTGTTTGGCTCGTGGCCATCACGCTGCAGAGTATGTTTATCTGAAGTACGGAGTCTAGACGATGTCTGCTGACTCGGTAATTTAGCCCGTATTCGGTAAAGGTTTGTCTTTTGATACCTTCGTCTTTATTGGCACCGGTCTCAACAGCCGCACCGAGTCGGATTATTGCCACATTATCCGCATAATGCTGCGAGTCTAGTGCTGCCTACGCCTCGAAGCACAGCCCCGTTATTGTGCAGATGTATTGCTTTGTCCACATAATGAGAAAATATTGACTTGTTGTCACTCACTCATTTGATTAGTTGTGCTGGTGATTCTGCTTTTCATTTGTCACCCTGGCAAC